TCTCTGACTTATTTCACTTAACATTATACCCTCTAAATCCATCCATGTTGTTGCAAATGGCAAGATTTCATTCCTTTTGATGGCTGCATAATATTCCATTGTATATATATACTGCGTCTTCTTTATCCATTCATCTGTTGATGGACATCTAGGCTCTTCCCATAGTTTGGCTATTGTGGACATTGCAGAGCAGTAAAATTTTAGAGAACAACACAGGAGCAAGCATACCTCCATGACCTTAAAAAACGGGATTTCTTACACAAGATACAAAATGCGCTCCACTCCACGGAGAAAGTCACTGAAAATTCACCTTCATTCAAAGGAGCTACCCTTTTAATTGGTGCTACCACTTCAGAAAATATGTTGACATTACCTCACTAATTTAAACATATATATATATATATATATATACACTTTGACCTTGAGATTTCACTCTTACATATCTACCCTTAAAAGACCTGAGTGCATCGGAAGATACATATAAGAATGTGCGTAAAAACGGTTCAAAGCACTAAAACTAGAAACAACCCAGATGCCCAGTTACAGTAATGTAAATATGTACAGTGGCATAAGGTCGCTGTGGAATATTCCACAGCGGTGAAAAGGAACACACCACTGCCGCCTCCGTGCACACGGGAGACTCTCAGAAGCACACCGTGGACAAAAGCCAGTCACAAAGACTGTGTATAGTAGGATTCCATTTATATGAAGCTCAAAAAAAATGGGCACAACTAAAAAGACATCCAGATGCATGCAGGTCATATTTTGTTGATTCTAAAATACACTTTTCACATTCTAATCTCCCTAAACTGGGGGGGGGGATGCATCTTATAAGCAGCTGCCTCTTGCAATGACATTTAGCAGCACTTTTTCTTTCTTAGACGTGAAATAAAGACTCGCCTCACAATTGTGGGGGGCTTAGGTTCAATGAAATATGATAGGTAGTCGAACTATAAAGAAAAGCAGCAGAATGACTAACATAAAATTGGGGAGGGAGGGGGCTAGGGAGCGGACCGGCACCTAGAATTCTATAGTACTGGCCAAAGGCTATTTTTCACCTAGAAGGTGACTATATTGGTGTCTGTTTTATTGTTCTTGAAACACTCTCAACTCCAACATGTATGACAGCTTTCACGCAGAAACGGTGTGTGGAGGCAAGGAAGCGGGGCCACGTGTGCAATAGCTCAGGGAAGCTGGATGGTGAAAGGGGGGAAGGGGGGCGACACTTGCAAGAGGAAATGGAGGGTAGGACGGGCGCTAAACGGAAAGCCGTCCCGGAGATGTTGGGCGGCACGGTTCCAACGAAGGAGGAGAAGTCCGGAGCTACTTCCTCTGGTGAGCAAGAGGGACAAAAGACAAGATGGGTTTGTGGATTTCGGGGTGGAATCCTGTGCATCTTTGCCTTTGATGGCTTCTAGACTATTCGTGAAGGATTTATACATGGGGTGGGGGTCCTTACCAGGCCTGGCAGGGATGGGGCAATGGCCATGGAGAGTTGGTGTCTAAAATGCTAAGCACGTATTCCATGGTTACTACGGGCCAGATTCCGAAATGAGGAGCTTCTGACATCCGTTATTCTGCTTACCCCCCTCCTCAGAGCGGCGAGGTAGCTCCTCTCTCCTCAGGCCTGGATTCGTTGCCCAGTGTCGCCATCACAAAATACCACACACCACATGGCTTACACGACAGAACGTTATTTCCTCACGGTTCTGGAGAATGGAAACTCGAGATCAAGATGCTGGCAGTCCTGGCTTCTCCTGAGGCCTCACTCCTTGGCCTGTGGAGGGCCTTTCCTCCCTGCACCCCTGCCCCAAGTACACCCACCCCTTCTCCACAGGAACGTCAGTCCTGGTGGATCGGGGCCCACCCTAACAGCCTCATTTTAACCTGGTGTTAAAACCTAAAGAGGTGTCTTTAAAGGCCCCATCTCCAAACACAGTCAGATTCTGAGGTGCTGGCAGTAAGGGCTTCCACCTACGAATTCTGGCCGGGGCATCGGGGACACAGTCCAGCCCCTAACCATACCCATGAAGAAATGGAGACGTCGTAGAGAGGGGTGAACAACTTGCCAAGGGCATACAGTTGTGTCAGAGCTGAGATGCAAAGGCAAGCGGGAAAAAAACAGGGGCTGACTACCAACCATTCCACTCTAAAACAAAAGGTCTTTTGGAGAATTAAAAAAAAAAAAAAAAAAATACTGACCAGAATAAAGGAATAATATCAGACTTTTCAGAGCCAGGCACTCTGTTCCTGCAAACAGAGTGGATGGACTCCTCTCTCATGGGCTCCCTTTGAAAGTCTGAGCTTTAAGCACGGAGACTGTAATTGCTGGCTAACCTGGCAGGAAAGGTCAGTCATTGAGCATCAGCTGAAACCCTTCGGCCAGAAGCCAGGTTTAAGTTATGGGCTGAGGAGGTTGCCACCTACTGGGCTCTGAGGGGTATGGGTGGGAAAGAGGCTCTTTCCATAGGCAGTCCTCTACTGCCCTCTGCTGCCGAGCAGAGGAACACCCAGGAATCGACAGACAACCCTGCTTCCTTCAGACACCCCAGGCGGAGAGGGAAAGGTGGATAGGGAGAGGCTGGAATCTGGTCTGTGGAGGATGTCAGTCCCACTCCTCCCCCCACACATACACACATTTCCAATCAATGGTCCAGCCAATTTTCACTTCTTGGCATTTGTGACCGTATTGATAAACTTGCATCAGGGAGCCTGGGGGGCTCAGTCCATTAAGAATCCTACTCTTCATTTCGGTTCAGGTCATGATCTCAGGATGATGAGATCCAAGCCCCATGTTGGGCTCTGGGCTGGGCATGGAGACTGCTTAAGTCTCTCTTCCTCTCCCTCTGCCCCTCCTCCCCCAACAACCACAAAAAAATAAAAAATAAAATAACCTTGCTTCAGTTGTAATCATCATTTAAAAAATCATCTGCTACCTTCTCAAAAATGATGTTTCCCAAGACCCTAGAATGTGAGAATTTGAATGCATGTTTTGATGACTTAAGAAAACTTTTTTTTTCTCATTGTTTCATGTTTTCAAAAATTATAAACTTATTGTATGTTTGAAAGGATTTTTTTTTCAACATTTTTAAAACCATGATTTCCTATGTGATAGCCCAGAGCCCCCAGCATATGGTTACAGTATTTTTGTAAAAATATTTCAATTTCAGGGGCACCTGGGTGGCTCAGTTGGTTAAGCGACTGCCTTCGGCTCAGGTCATGATCCTGGAGTCCCAGGATCGAGTCCCCTCTCTCTCTCTCTCCTCAGCGGGGAGTCTGCTTCTCCCACTGACCCTCTTCCCTCTCGTGCTCTCTCTCTCTCTCAAATAAATAAATAAATAAAATCTTTAAAAAAAATATTAAAAAAAATATTTCAATTTCAAATGTGCCTTTTCTTTTAAAAAGTCAGTAAGTAGTTCATGCTTTTAGAAATTTCAGTGTTACAATTAACGTAACAATAAAATAAAATTAAAAAGAAGAAATTTCAGTGTTACATACTTGGGGAAAATGTTCTAAGGAATAAAGGGTTCCCTTGAATTGAGAAGCATATATAAGTGCCAGGAGAAACCGCTGACCTGCCCAAACTCTCAGCGAACCCGGTCCGTGTGCTGCACGGGATGTGCGGCCCTGTGGACGTCAGTGAAATTCAAAATGGGGGGCTTACTGTCCTTCGGTGCCTCGACTCTTGTGTGGGTCCCTAGGCCTCCTTTATGCAGCCCCTGAAATGGGCATTTCAAATGCAAGTCATGAACAAAGAAACAAAATGCAAATCAGATTAGGGTCCCCTACTGCTCTGGGAGAGGCCAAATGTCACAGGGCTTTGACTTTAGAATAAAATAACAAACTCCTTACCAGCTTTACCAGGCCACGTGATCGGACTTATTCCAGCCCCTCCCAGCCTGCCCTCGCTCCGCTTCCCTGCTTCCCTTCCCATTCGGCTGTTTGCATTTTCATCCTTCCAGGAGCTCTCTGTGGCTCTGTTTCAATATTCTGTTTATTTCCTTCAGGGCAACTTGCTACAATTTGTAATAATCGTGTCTGTGTATCTGTCATTCACCTCCTGTCTCCATTAGGCACCGCCCCCCGACCAGGCACGTCCTTCGTCAGTTTCGCTCTTGGCGGTATTCCCGGTGCCTGATGAGCATATAGTTATCACAGAGTGAAGTGAGCAAAGGCAGGTAATGAGAGGTGAGTGACACCAAGTCGTTCCAAGAATACCCTGCCCCGGGGCGCAAGGCAAGGGGAGTCCCTGGCAAACAGAACTGCACTTTCATCTTTGACCCAGACTAGTCAGCAAAACCACCTTCTCCCTACTTGGAGGACAGCGGGGAAGCAGACGCAACCACAAGCCCGGAACCACAGTTCGGGAGAACTGGAGGGCAGCAGGGTCCACACAGGCGTGCCAAGCCATCAGACGCAATCATTTAATTAGCGGTGTTGGGGCCCATCCAGGAGGCAAATGCCAGCTACCAACCAATGAGTAACACTTGGTGTTGATCCAGTGCTTTTCCCTGATGAGGGCCCCAGCGCAGTCCCCCCCGGCTGACAGCCCGGCTCTGAGAAAGGTATCTTCACAGCTGCATTTGACAAATGGAACAATAAGAAGAAGAACTGAGGCCAGTGAGCTGGAGACCCACTCCTGGGCTGCAGGCTGGTGCCTGGCCTTCCAGTGGCTCTCGTCTCTGTCCTCTGGGCAGACAGTCGGAGCCCGAGCAAGGCAGAATACATTCAGTGCTGCCTGTCATCAGCTCAGGATCAGTGGCTTGGGGAAGCCTGAGGACAGCTGTCCCCAAGGGAGGTAGCTAGTGAGGGCTGGAACACTTGCTTGGCTCCAGGGAGGCCTGGGTCACACATCTTGGGGTACAGCTTTCCCCTCTGAAGCGCTCCTGGGTCCATGTAATTTCCTGTGCCCTAGGTTGCTTCTCTCCTGGGCAGGATCCTACAAAGAACGAGGTCAAGCCAGGATAAAACGTCTGAGAGCCTCCCAGGCAGGGGCAGCTTCAGGGCAGGCCGATCTGGGGGTTCTTCAGGAAGAGGGCCAGTCTCTGGGCCATGGCGTCCAGGTCGCCCGAGTTGGCAGACCGGAGGAGGTTGCTCTTTCGCACGAAATAGTGCTTCAGAAAGTGCTGGCTCACGCACTTGTGCAGTTTCCTCACCAGGCGCAGGAAGGCTTTGCTGAAGACCTGCCAGTCCTTCAAGTGTGGGTATTTCTCACAAGTCCAAAAAAGCACGGTCTGTGGAAGGAAGAGGTGGTGTCAGACATCGTTCCGGGCCACGGGGGAGAGTATCTTCGGAAATGTTACTGAGCTCACGTGGCCTTGGAAGGAGGGAGAAAGGAGTCACCCAGGGCTAGGAGGCTCCGCCATGATTTCATGACCCCCACCCTCAGGTGGGCTCTCAGCCTCAGCCTGCTGGTCTCCTGAGCCTTTGTCATTGTTTCTCTCACCACTGACATTTCCAGTGACCAGCACTCTCCTGAAACCTGTGATCCCCCACCCTGGGCAGATGCCTTTGCCTCCTACTTTACAGAGAAAATGGAAACCCTCATGGCAGCAAACAGGACAGTTCTAGAGAGTTCTGCCTACACAGGCTTCTTCCTCTCTTCTCTGCTTGACCACCCCACCCAGCCAGGTGAACCCCATGCAGGGCTTGGGATCCCCAGGAGCCGTGTGGGACTGACTTCCCTCCTGAAACTGTTCTAAGCTCTCCTGCCCCACCCCCTCCTTACCTCACACCTCTCTGCAAGTGCAATCAGCTCCACCATCTGTCGTCATTTCCTCTCCTCTGGTTCCCATCCTAACCCACTGCAATATGGATTCTTCTGCCCTCAGGCCTCAGAAGCTGCTGTCTGTAAGGTCTAGTGATCTCCATGTTGCTAAGTCCAACAGGACTTGCCCAGCCCTGGCCTTACCTGGCCCTCCAGCAGAATCGAACTCTCCCACTCACAGCCTCTCTTGAGTCATTCATTCTTCGCCGGCTTCCAAGCCACTGTGCTCCCTGGATTTCTCCAGGCGCTACAGCTACTCCTTGGCATGTTATCCCCTTGACCTGCCTCAGTGCTGGAGTTTTGGAGGCTCGGTTCCACACCCTCTTTTTCTCGTTCTCTCTTGCTTCCTTCCTCGGCGGCTTGAATCCCCACCAAACACAGAGAAGTCACTCACAATTTCCTTTCTCCGAGCCAGACTTCTCCTCTGACCTGCTCCTCACCTGCTCTCTTGGGAATCTGAACGTTATCTCCATCAACATGTCCCAGCCGTACTCATGGCCTCCCCCCAACAGACCGGGCGCGGCTCCAGAGCTGCTTGCCCAACCAGTCACGCAACACGCAAGCCAGGAGTCACCCGTCCCTCACCAGCTTCATCAACCCCGCCAGTCCTCGGAAGTGGTTCTCCAATCTACCCATGTACGTTCATCTCCACCATCGCCTCCTCTTCCACCTCACCCGGACCTCTGTCCCCATTGTTGTCCCCATCCTGTCACCACCCACGCTGTAGCCAACGCGATCTTTTTGAAATATAAACCCATGGTTCTTCTTGTCTGAAAGACTTTCAAGCCTTCTCCTGGTTGGTTAATGAAAGACCACAGTCCTTCACAGGGTTTGGTGTACAAGTTTGGTCCTACCGTCCTTTCCAGCCTTGGCTCGCCCTCACCCTCCCTTGCTTCCTCCTTCCAGCCCCACTGGCCTCGCATCATGCTCTCTGCTACCACAGGGACTTCTCTCACATCCGACCTCTGCTGTATGGAACATACTTCCTTCCCCCAATTTGTCCAGGACACTCGTCCATCAGATCAAATTCTCCTATGAGACCATTAGACACTCTCTTCACCACATACTCCTCAGAATGCCCATGATCACAGGAGTTGTCATCTCTGTATTTATGTATGCGATCCCCTACGAGGTTGTAAACTCTGTGAAAGAGGCCGATACCTATTTTAATGGCTATTAGGTCACTAGCACCCAGCAGAGGAGCTGGCCCATGGGAAGCAGTCAAAAATGTTTATTGACTAAGGGAAATAATTCACTAATGTTATGATTTGGATGTTGAGCATTTTTAAAATACAGTCTTTACTAAAAACGAAAAGAGCAGCTTTAGCTTCATGGCAAGATAGTGTGTATGTTTTGATTTAGATCACACTGTGTGAAGTAAATGAGTTGGAAGTAATGTCATACTATCAAGATAGCCTAGACACAAAAAAGTGTTTTAATTCCTCTTGTAGTTAAGCTTTTATCTCCCTAAGCAAACCCGAAGCGGTTAAGCCTCTTATAATCAAGCCCCTGTGCCTTTGAGTGGGTTTTAGGAATAAATAAGCCAATGAAGGATGAGCTCTTGTTCACAGGGAGTTGCTTTGGCGGGGGGTGGGGGGGTGGGGGGGCTGCTTTGGGGACAAGGTGAGAACCTCATCAGACCGTGTCAGACTGAAGGTGGGGTGATGATGACTGGCACAGCCTTCCTGAGGCTGTTTTGCAACCCAGCTCTTCTACTTTCCCCAGACTGAAGGCTTGGCAAGGACCCCGCCCACTCAAGCCGTCATCCGGGATGGTGTCACATTGTTACCAGCTACGTCCATCACTGTGTCTAAATGTGAGAGCATCCTGGACCAAGGATGGAACACACTAGAACAGGCAGGTAGTGGTGCTTCTATCTGTCCTGTCCTTCTCAACAAATAACCCCCCTTTTCAAATGCCCATTCTTGAGAATGCATAATTCTGTGCCCTGCTGGGGAGTTAGGGAGAACCAAAACAAAGCACATTTAAGGAGTTGCCCTAAAATCCTCTAGTGATTGAGAAGCCACTGGAATAAAAGTAAATCCTTGGGTGTAATGCAGTTTTGACAGCAGTCAAGGGTGGGGAGGCCCAGGGTGGCCCTATTCAATCTTGTCTAAAATATTCGTGTCACTTAATATGTTTCCATCTGTCTTAATTGCGAAGCAGTGAAGTCAATGGTTAAGATCATGAGGTCCGATATGAGATAGAAAGGAGCTTGCTTCTCAGCTCTGACTCTTCCTAGTGTGGCTTATAGAAAGGCAAGCAAGAAAGAAGCCAAACCCACAGAATGAACTAGCCTATCCTCAGGAAGCACATGCCCTCAAGAACAGGTGGGTGTTTTTAGGGGAATGTGCGTGGGCACATGTTGAGAATGTTGAAACTCCAGAGAAAGGCCCCAATGTGTGCAAATGAGATATTAACAGGTTCTCGGGCAGGTCAAGGAGGACAGGTTATTAGGAAAGAGAAGAAAGCCAAGCAAAGCCTACTGCCTTCATGGGGAAAAAAGTGGAATATGATGTGAAGGCATTCATTCATTTGCTCAATAATTATATATCGAGCAACTACTATGTACACAGCACTGGGAGAGATACTAAGGGTTCAGTAGTAGGTGCCCTTAAATAGCTTACATTGGAGCTGGAAGAGTTATCCAGGGCCAGAAGATGGCAGGTCCCCTGAATGAGAGCGGGCACAAGCGGGAAGTCACCGCACAGACAGGCGGCCTGTGCTCACCTGTGCAGAAGGTCAAGGAGAAGGGACGAAGCTCCCGGATAGACCCCAGCTAGGCTTGGGCTGTGCTGTCTCTAAGTCGGCCACCTCCTGACCTCAGAGCACCACACAGCTGTGTTCCGTGAACGTCCCATTTACCATGTGCAGTTGGGAATTTGCAAAAGAGGAGTTGAGGATGTGATGGAAGGCCCTCACCCCAGGGAGACCCCCTGATGTCCCAGGCCAGGGTCTGCTGCTCTGGGCCGGTCCTCCCTGGTGCTCCCCATGCTGTGTGACTCCACGTGCACCTGGGGGACCACCTGACTGCCTATCTCCCCCGCTGAACCATCAGCTCCAGGGGAGCAGGAACCACTTCTGTGTTTGCTCACCTTGGACCTCCAGGGGTAGCGCACACAGCAGGTGCTGGGGAAGGTGTCTGGCCCACGGTAAGCTCAATAAACATTTGCTGAGCAAGTGAGTAAAGGCGGTCATGAATGTGTGTTGTTGGGTTTGGGACAACGGGAGGCAGGTGCTGCAGAGGGAGGGGAAAGCCCTGCCTGAGGATTTGGAACCCAGGAGTTCAGGTCCGCAGCCATGCTCACGTGGCAAGCCCCTTTTCCTGGTGGCCCCCCCCCCGCCCCGGCCCCCACCCCCGTGTGGCAGTGGCCGCACCTGGCTAGAGTGGGGACCCAGGGAGTCCTAACACCAGGGGAAACGTGAATTCCCCTGAGGTTCGAGCCATCCGCAAGATTTCCCCAGACTGTAGGTTTCTCAGGGGCGCAGGCCACACGGTGTAATCGGTGCTGAACCTCAGCGCAGTTTCCGGCACACAGTGGGCACTCATGTTGGTTTGGTGAGTGAAATAAGTGGAGGGGAGAGACGGAGAGAGAAGAGGAGGAAACAACCAAAAGAAAGGAGCGGCAAGAGGGCAAGCGGGGCCGGGGAGGGAGGAGGCAGAGGCCGTTCAGCCTGGGCAGGGCTGTCCTGGGCACACATACAGCCCGGCTGTCGGGCTCTCACTGGTGAGCAAGCATAACACATGGGATGGCCCATAGGGACACGAGGGCCCCCTCTCGAATCAGTCGCATACACACACACCCAGTGTGAGTGGCTCTGGCCGGGCCCCGGGGGCACGCAGAGAGGACCCACGCCAAAGTGGGGCGCGCCCGCTCACCTGCAGATGGTGGGACGTGATGACCGGCCTCTTTCCCGGACACCAGACGTCCTCCTTCATCTGCCTCAGGGCCTGGAGACACCTGATGCGGCAGCCCCCGTCCTCGTCCAGCTGCGCCAACAGCACCTGCTCGGCCTGCAGGAAGCTCAGCTGCCAGTGATACTGCGAACGGGCCAGCAAGGCAAACCCGAATGACTGGGAAAAGAGAAAGACACCAGGAAAATGAGGAGGATGCTGGCCAGAGTAGAAAGCCATCACTGAAGCCATCCGCTACGCTATGGGGGGTGGGGGAACCTGCCACCAGGCAGGCAGAACCTCCCACGTGGGGACACGGAGGAGGGCTCAGGGCAAACCCCCTTCTTTGTGCACAGGGAACGGGAGAGACGGTGTCCACTTTCTCGCAGGCCCTGGTTCTCCAAGCCGAGCCCGCACCTGGAGAGCTTCACACACAGACTGTTGGGCCCTGCCCATCGGCTCTCATGGTCCTGAGCAGGGCCCGGGAATCCGCATTGCTAACAGGCTCTCAGGGGCCGTGGCAGACTGTGGGGCCCCCACCTGGAGCACCGCTGATCGAGTGAAACCTCATTTTTCCCTTCCAAAGCTGGCTGACAGCGATGCTGTGGGTGGGTAAGCTGTGAGCGCCTCTGCTCTGGCGAGCTGGGCCCCTGGCTCCCCGATACCTTGATGCACTCCACTCTCTGTCGGGAAGGCCAGCGCCTCACACAGGGAGGCCACCGAGCTTTCTCAGACCAGGCAGTAGGGATCTCCACTGCGGGGACCAGCTCTAGCTCCACCTGCCATGTGGCTGTTTCCACGGCAACCCAAACTGCAGAGTGGTGTGTTAGCATGCTGACCTTACCTGGTGGGAAATGACAAAGAGGCAATGAGAAGAGAAAGCCCGGCTCAGGCAAACATTTAAAGGAGGAGTTGGGGAACAGTGGCGGTGAGCAGCTCCTTGCGCCTGGTGGGGCAACTGCCACAGGTCGGTAGCACCCCAAGGGTGGGGGTGTTCATGGCAAAACTAGACAATTAGCTGAGTAACTATTGATAGAAACGTTGCTAGAAAATCTCACGGTGGGTGAGTGTTGCTTTTTCCTTTCTCCGCCCCCCGCCCCTAGGCTTTTACGGCACCTTTTCTTTGAAAGTAATAAATTCTTTTCAGAAGGCTCAACTGAAGAAAAGAGACACAGAAGACAAAGAAAAGATGGAGTATTTGCTAATAAAAATGAAATCCAACCATCTTCTACACCCCCTCCATTCTTCCCAGATGTCCTGACCTTGTTGAGAATGGCGTTCTCCCCTGACTCATTCACCTGCCTCTGGTGGAGTTCAGCTTAACCCGTTCCTTACCTGACTCCCAGTCTCTCGGATGGCATTGTTCCCACCATCCATTAAGCTAGTCTAGCCTCAGATGTATTTGTCATCCCAAGCCCTTGTAATTATAAAATACTTCAAAGTGTGTCATAGCCATTGGCTGAAAGGGTCGAATGAGTGGGAAAAAGCCCCCACTGCTTTTTCCAACCAGGCAATGAGAGAGAGAGAGAAAATAAATGCATCTGGGAGCATCTTTCAGCTCCTGTACTAGAATTCCTTGCTAATCTGTTCCCCCTTCTTTCAAAAGATACACAGTCATTTTTTGTTTGTTTGCCTTCATTACAGATAAGGATGAGCTGTCTTGAATCGGGATCGATTATTTTTCTCTTGTTTGTTCAGAGAACAAAGTTCAGAGAAGAAAATGGAAACTCACTCATTAATCGTGTTAAGCTGTTCAAAAGGGAAACATTCCTCTCCTTGGCTGCGGTGTGATAAAGAGCTTATAGTCTGCACCTCATCAGAGCTGCCCAGACAGGAACATGACGACGTCTGGCACCCTGGCATTATTTACTGAAAGCATCTCACCAACGTGGCCCGTTTGCAAGCTCTCATTTGCACTTTCACTATTACCAGTGTTTTCAAAGTGAAGAAGTCAGCACATGCTGGAACCAGCCTGCCCCGTCCACACCCTGCTTCTGCTCTGGCTCTGCTCACTTGGTGTGTGACCTCCCGCATGTTAGCTCATCCCTCTCTAAACCTCAGTGTTCTCATCCATAAAACAGGCAGAAAAATAACTCCGACTCTCCAGGGTTGCTATGCGCAGGACATTTTCCACAAAAGCATCCTATATGTGGTAAGAATCCATTAAACGTGGGCTAATTCCATTACGGAAACTTTCAGAACAGTTCCGTCCAGACAGGTAAAAGATCATTCAAATCTTTTCCTTTCTACACATGTGTGGGATTGAGTCCTGTCCAGCACTTTGGTTTTTCCCTTCATTTTCCAGCACAAGGATTTTTCACAACTCCATGTGTACACACATGTACCCCATTCTTAAAGGCAAAGGTAGTACAATTTATTTCACAATTTCCCTTTGTTACTGACATTATTTCTAGTTACTTACTATTAGAGCCTAAGGCCATGGACGCCCTTGTGCATATTTTTTTTTTTCATCTGTAGGAATATAGTTCTAGAACTGGAATTGTTGAATTGTCAAGTTAAGCACATTATAAAAATAAAAACAGACTAATCGCCCTTTAAGAAGTAGGCACCAATTTACATTTCCAAGAACAATGTATGAAAAGGCCTTTTGTACCACACTCACCCTTACCCTGAGCATGATCATACTTTTTCATCTCCGTCAATTTTTTTTTTATTTTAATGCACACTGCTTGAAATATATGTTAGATGGAACATTTTTTCTGACTTTTTTTTAAAAGATTTTATTTATTTATTTGAGAGAGAGAGAGAGAGAGCATGAGTCAGGGATAGAGGCAGAGGGAGAGGGAGCAGCAGATTCCCCGCTGAGCAGGGAGCCCGATGCGGGGCTTGATCCCAGGACCCTGAGATCATGACCTGAGCCAAAGGCAGATGCTTAACCAACTGAGTCACCTTTTTTTTTTTTTTTTTTACTTTTTTTCTATTACTTGTTTATATTCTTTTTCTGTGAGTCATTTTTTTTTTTTTTTTTTGGTCATTATTTCTATTGGTCTACTTGTATGTTTTCTTACTGGTTTACAAATACTCTTTTATAATTAAGGAAATCCGCCACTTTTTCCCAGTGTGAAATACACTTTTTTATTCTGTGGGAACAAAATGTATGTGTGAGCGAATGTACATACATGCCACATGGTAGCATACAATTTAAGATTTGGGGATTGTCAAACTTAATCAGTTCTTCATGGCTTCTCATTTTTGTGTTTTGGCACAAGTCAGTGGTTTCCAAATGCGGCATCTCAATACACTGGGGGACGGCAGTCAGTTGGAGGGTGTTACAGAAATGTGCTAGTAACAAAGATCTGTGGTTTGCAAGTATTTTGCTTTTTAAAAAGTGTACCTAAGTTTTTAAATTAACGTCCAGGAAAGGGCACACAACCCAAAGCCCATGATGTCTCTGCCGGAGCAGTAATCCACGGAAATCCAAGCGGGTGCTGTATGGATTCCACTCTTCAGTGTCAAAGCAGAAAAAAGAGCTAATTCATACTGTGAGGAGTGAACAGATGTAAGGAGCACATGGTTAATGTCTCAATTTAGGGGCACGAGCGAGAGAGAGAGAGAGAGAGGAGGTTTTTTGTTTGTTTGTTCATGGTTTTATTTATTTATTTGAGAGAGAGAGAGAGAGAAAGACAGTATGAGTGTGAGGGGCAGAGGAAGATGGAGAGAGACAGAACCCCAAGCAGACTCCATGCTGAGCAGGGAGCCCGATGCGGGGCTCGATCCCAGGACCCCAGGACCACGACCCGAGCTGAAACCAAGAGTCAGACGCTCAACGGACTGCACCACCCAGGCGCCCCTGAGCAGAGGTTTTATAAAGCAAAAGGGAAATGCCAGAAATTGCCCTTTGTCCTTTTCTTGATCAGCTCACCTGAGAGATGACAGGTTCCAATTGCATTTTCTACCAGCTTCCGGAACACCTGGAGGACCTTGGCGGGTACAATGTCTCCCTCAATGTTCACGTCTGCCTCATGCCACTGCCACAGGCTCTTCATAAACTGCTCCACCTCCAGCCACTGCTGCAGGCCCTCCGGGTCCTGCAAGGGGCAGGACAGCCTGGTACCCTGTAGGGTGTAGTAGCGCCAACGTTGCTCCCTCGCCTCCCTGTATCCGGCCAGGCCCTTCACCGGGACGGTGACCAGGAACCGGCTGGGGGACAAAACCTGGGGTCAAGAAAGGAGACGGGAGTGTGAGTTCACGGACTTGAGAGGTAACCGCAATCCCCGGGGCGCCAGCCTGTCGAACCGGGTTGCTCAGTGAACTACTCAACCCTTAGCAATGCGCCGAGATGGACAGAGGGCTGCACCTGCCCGCTGCAGGAGGGTTCCATCTTTGTTCTGCCACACTAACCACTGTAGTGGTCGGGCAGATGAGTTCATTCCCTGAGCCCTGGGTGTAAGGAACCTGCAAGGAAAAGACTGAACCTGACCTGGAACTCAAGGGGGCACCGAAGCGGGGAAAAGAGAAGGCAGGGGAAGAAGGAAATAGTATACAGTGAGTTCTGCACATACTAAGCACTGCAAGTCTCAGGCATTAGACTAGGTGATGTTCCCAGTTACACGAAGAGGTGGGCTTCATTAACATTTCCCCGATGAGGAACCTAAAGCTCAGAGGGGCTCTGAGATCTCCCTGGGGACACACAGCCAGGAAGTGGGAGAGCCAGAATGTGAGCTTAAGCCATCTGATGGCTTGTTCAGGGGTTGCTTTCTATGCTGGGCTGGCTCTCAGTCGGGGAGGAATGACCTGGATCAGGTGAAAGTTCTGGTATGGGAAGAGACAGGAGGGGGAGAAAGGATTCTGCAAAATGTCTCCCTTTCTTTTTGCCAGTACTGATGGCCCACGGCCAGTATTAATGATTGGTCCTTACAAAATCACAGGTGAAATGAAAGGCAGTTGCTGAGACCACATGAGCTGTTGAGATGATTCTATGTTTAATAAAACTTAGAATAAAGCAAATGATCAGAATCTACCTACTCTGTTTCTACAAGTACCAGTTAGGCAGAGGTCAGGATGAAAGTGGTCAGGTCAATGGTCCAAAGGATAGAACAGATTGGCCAGCACTACAGTATCCCCAGAAGGAGCTTGACCTCTGGCCACATCACGTGGCAGCCTACTCCACACCACACCTTTTCCCATCAGTCATCAGTTGTGCACTGGAAGATCCACCTCCTTTTCATGGAAAGTTCTGACCATGGCATCTGGTTAACCTTTGCTCAGGGCTCTGTCACTGGCCAATTCAGGGGTGAACACCAAACTCTGCCTCATTCTCAGAGAACAACAGTGTGATGCTTTAGAAAATGGATCCACATGACTTCGGTGCCCATAGAAAGGTGGTGGCATTAAAAAAGGGAACAAATTTAAACTCTGGCACTCAAAATCAATACCTTCTTTGAACCCACTTGCATGTGAATTTGAGAGCACAACTATTATGTTAATAGTCACATAAATGGTGCTTAGTTAACACTTGCTGGATTTGGTCCAAGATAAAATAAAAGCAATTTTTATACACCCCACTTCAACTATTTTCAAAACTTAATATGCAGGACAGGATGTATATAAATGCAAGATATATTTTAACCTATGAATTCTAAGTGAGACCACAGAAGGAAATTTCTTCGGATATAATTCTAGGAAAAGGGTGTTATGGGTGGCTCAGTCGGTTAAGTGTCTGTCTTCAGCTCAGGTCATGATCCCAGGGTCCTGGGATCGAGCCCTGTATCAGGTTCCCTGCTTAGTGGGGAGTTTGCTTCTCCCTCTGTCTCTGCAAATCCCCCTGTTCATGCTCTCTCTCTCTCTCTCGGTCTCAAATAAATAAATAAATAAAATCTTTTTTTAAAAAAGTGGTATTGTGTTTCTACTCCTAGTCACTGGTCTCTATTGGTCTAATGCAGGTTAGAAGGGCGATAGAAGTGGGCAAACGATGTTGTGATATGTGGGGATCAAATCTACTTTTAGAATTTTCATCCTGGGGTGAATTTCTCAAAATCTGTACTCTGTCCCCGGATGTACATGTCCCAGATTCTTGTGGGTGGTCCTTGTGCCCAATAACCCTGGAATGTTCTGGACCAGCAAGGGTCTTCAGTCCAGGCACTTATTTCTTTTACTTATTCATTCATTCACTGAAGCTGAGTGTCTGCATGGGCCCCACACCATGCTGGGTGCGAGCAATGAAGCGATCAATAAACATGATCTTTACAATCAAGGAGCTTGTAGTCTTGTGTGAGAGATACGGCACGGATACATATTATCTAATACAAGTGAAAGGGGTTCTTAGGTGCCATAAGAAAAATCGAGATAAAGGAGCATGGGGTCTCAGAAGGGCTCAGAGCCCCACTTCCCTCATCTCTGAAAGGCAACGAGCCACGTCTGTTCTTCAAGGTTGTTTGCAGGTGTGAGGGAGGCCATTTCTGTGAGCATGGCTCGGCTCACACAGCACTGTTGCAGGAAGGCTGGCTGTCATGCATGGGCGCTGGTGGCTTAGAGTCCTGTCTGCAGCGGGGACAGGGGTGGCGAGGCTGCCTCTACACTTTCTAAGGGCCACCTCTTCCACATCTTCCTTCCCCCACCTGCAACCCATAGACTCTCGCTTTCAACCCTTTTCTCACCAATGCCCTTCCTGAGTTCCTGTCCTCAGGCCCCAGGCTATTAAGCAGGTGCTGCATACATGAATGTGTGCTTAACTAAACTTCAGTTGTTACAGCACAGCGTGCTTGGAGTCCGAAGCCCTGGGCTGAGTTCTGGCTGTTGTGCCTAACAGGACGTGATAGGGACATTTGACTTCTCGAAGCCATTCTATCATATCCGTAAAGTAGGGCCGTGGGGGCTCACGTGACACAGACCCTCTGGAGCGAGTGGGTAAGTGGTAAATACTAAGAGGACCTGTGGAACATAAAGGATTATTGGTACCCTCAGTCAGGTGATGCCTGGGGCACACTGAGACCCACCCACCCACACAACTTACAGAACAGGTGAGACCTACTTACCTTAATGTTCCCATTGTACGTGTCAGAGTAAGGGACGGCCTGGAATCGAATGTCTTGGTGGCTGATTTCTGTGGTCAGCTGGTGGACGACCCTCTGCACCTCCTCCACAATCTGGGAGATCTGCTGGCGCCTCACGCCCACCTGGGTGGGAAGGGATCAGCACAGGCAGTCATTCCCAGGGCGGGGCCCAGGCATCGGCACAGGGACTTGATGAGACAGGCCCGGTGGTAGGCGACCACGGGAGCGCCGTCAGACAAGCTGGCCCTCCCAAGAACCCCAGGGGACATGCACCTAGGTGTGATGGCACTCGCTGGTGGTTCAGCGTTCTTTGAAATACAAGCATTCACTCAGCATTAATCCAGTACCTGTGTGCGGCGGGCGCTGGGGCACAACAGTGAACTAAACACACACACACACAGATAGATGTGTCCTCATATATACAGGATATACGTACATACGTGTATACACACACACACACATACATGTATATATGCACACACACATACGTGTGTGTATAATCTAACATCAGGTATGATAAATCCCGTGAAGACAAATAAAATAGGATAAGGGACTAGAGAGTAAAGGCGCTGCTATTTTAGATCGGGTGACCAGGGAAGGCTTCTCTAAGGAGGCAACATCTGAGTGAGCCCTGACAACAGCAGGGGAGAGCAAATTCTGAGGCCCCCTAAAGCAGGAGCACGCCTGGCAAGGCAAGGGGGCCCCTGTGGTTGGACCCTGGAAAAGGGAAAGTAGGGTGACGGGAGATGAATTTGGAAAGGCTGGTCTGGCCAGCCCATCCCACAGGGCTTTGCGTGCTATGGTGAGACTCTAAAATGGGGTAAGAATGGCTGCCGTCCAGGTTAGTGAAGACGAAGCAGTTCAACGCATGTAATCATGCCGCAGTTTCCTGTCTTCTGTCATCCATAATGATGGCTCTCTGGGCCCCGGTACTCACCCTCCTTTTGCTACTAGACCCATAAGAAAAGGCACGTGTTTTATGTTCCCTCAGAATCCGCACTGCAAGTTCTCAAGAACCGGAATTACTGTGAGAAAGTTGAACACCAACGTTATATACTTTCACAGATACTCAAGGTTTAGGGAAATAGGTGTTTGTGGGGAACCCACAGGAACTTTTAGTAAACTCCAGGAGAGTTCGGAAGATCCAAATGAAGAAGAAATGGGAAGACTCTGTGTTTTCTGAAATGGAGGGGCCCTGTTCTGTTGCTCAGGCTGGTCCCCCTTGGGGAGGCTGCTGAATCTGGCAGGGAACTGACTGGAAGCAATATCTGATATATCTAAATGCAATGTCCACAGTGAACCTTTATATTCTCTCTGAGTTCTGTATAATGGCTGTTTCTATGTATTCTCTAGTCATTTAAGATACCCATAAATTAATCAAGAAAAATGTCCAAGTCAAAGAGATTTCTAGCTGTTTTCCTAACTAACTCATCAGCTAGTCCAGTCACCTGGGACTTCATACCTCCCACCAACAAACCCGACAACCATATATGGACAGAGGACACAAATGTGCATATGCGCACATGCTGTATATCACATGTATAAAATGTGTCATATATAAAGTTAGCTCATTAATAAACACCTCTGTGTGCCAGGCACTCTGTGACATGCTGGGACCCAGCAGTGAGTAACACAGACATCACCATGGTTTACAGTAGGTGGGAAGACAGGCGTGAGTACTGAACATAAGCTTGGGGGCCATGACAGGGGAAGTGGAGGGTGCCCCTGGGTTCAGCGGAGCAGGTGACCTAGTCTGAAGCCTGAGACCTGTTTTAAAGGTCCCTATCCCCACACAGGGGAATGTCTTTGAAAAACTAATACCCTCCAGATGCCTAGGAGTAACAAGAAACATAAGACGAGGCTCCTGATCTTAAGGAAGGAAACACATGATACACACGACATAGTCTTTTCAAAATCCATGTGTCTTGTCTGACCTTAGATATGATGATCATGTCTACATAGGCTTTTAATGCCATCTTCTTGCCACCAGCACCCACCCACTGCTTTCGTATGTCCACCCACTACATTCATCACGGGAGGGCACCTTTCTTGAGCATTTGTAAGCTATTGAGATTCTGCATCTTCCAGAGTGTCCAAGTGGAAGAGAAAAGGTGGTCACGGAGGGGGCAGATAATTTGCCATGCCAAAAATAAAGGAGAATGCGTTTAGTAGCCCATGATGAAGGGTCCCCTGCAGGGTAAGACCTCTATGTGTTGTGATTCAACTCCATTAGATCAATTTTGTTGAACATTTTATGCCAGGTGCTATGTGTACATGTTTGTTGTCAAGAGGTTTACAGATGACACAACGGAGCAAGATAAATAAACTGGAAATTAAAGTCACAGCAATCTAGTGCTGTGTAGAGGTCTGTACAGGATGCTATGGGCACATAGATGCTATGGGTACATAGAAAAGTATGGGTACGGGATGCTATGGGTACTTAGAAAAGGGAAATATCATCTAGTCTGGAGGCTGGGGTCTCTTCCTGGAGGCAGAGTGTAGGGGAGTTGTATCTTGAAAGATTTGTAGGAGTTAACTAGAAAGAGAAGGGTGTGAGGGTTGTTCAAGACAGAGCAAATGGCAGATTATCTAGTATGAGGAGCACAGGGGGCTGCAATGGCTCCCCTATATTGCTGGAGAAGAGACTGCCTTAGAGAAGGATGGCGAAATGGGAGAATAAGCAGCAAGAGGTCTTGAAAATCAAGGAAGAAGAATTTCAAGAACAAAGTCAACATTAAGCGGCTGAAATGAGATAGGGCCCCAAAAATGTCCACAGTGTTTGGCAACTAGAACAGGATCGATGTGTTCAGGGAAGGGGTGGGCATTTAAGCCAGACTGCAGTGGGTAAAGAGTAAGTGAGTGGGAGGCGAGCAAGCGAACACAGAGGTAAGCAACTCCTCCAGAAGTCTGGCCAGGGAAGGGGAAAAAACCAAAAAGGGACACCAACAGGGTTTTTTCAAAATGACACACAGGTTTGAACACATTTAAATGCTGAGAGAAAGGAGCCAGTGGGGAAGGAAGAGGCAGCAGGGAGCTAAACCACTGAGTCAGGGTTTCCCAGCCAGAGCGTCATGCAAATCCAGAAACCTGGTGAGCAATTCACATTGGCGCATCAGAAGGAAAGAAAGACAGGTGCAAGCAGATAAAAAGGTAGGAGTGCAGGAATCGGAGAGATTTCCTGTCTGAGGGCTGTTTTCTTTACAGAGCGGGAGACAAGGCAATGTGCTTTGAGTGAGGTGGGGAGGGGACCGTAGGGGACTTCGGGGTGACAGACTTTGGAAATCATATCTCTGAGGAATGGGGGCTGTTCAGGCACCACGTGCGGACTGCCAGGCAGTCCCAAGACTCAGTTGTGGGGGGTCCACGGAGCCGTGGCATATCGGTGGGCTCAGTTGTAAGATGGTCTCCACACCTCGTCCCTCCAAAGGTAACAAGGGAGATGCTAAGGCAAGGGCTTGCTGGGCGGAGAAGGCTAAGGCAACAAGGGAAGGTTTCTGTGGTGGGCCATGTTTTCCAGCTGGGGGAAGAAAATGGACAAAGCCATTTAGTAGATTAGGGAACACTGGACAAGGTCAGGGACCAGAAGTCTGATCAGGAATAGCAGCAGAGGGGCACCTGGGTGGCTCGGTCGGTTAGGCGTCTGCCTTCGGCTCAGCTCGTGATCCCGGGGTCCTGGGATCGAGCCCCACATCGGGCTCCCTGCTCAGTGGGGAGTCTGCTTCTCCCTCTGCCCTCTGCCTGCCGCTGCCCCTGCTTGTACTCTCTTTCTCATTATCTCTCTCTCTCTCTTTCTCTCTGTCAAATAAATAAATAAATAAAATCAAAAAAAAAAAAAAAAGGAATAGCAGGAGAAAGTCATACAAGGCTAACTAGACAGAACACCGCAGTCAGAGTGGTTGGGAAATAGTCTTCTCAAATAGCTAATTTCTTAGACTGTGTTGAGGACTAAGGCTCAGCCACAAGTCCTCCAACTCCACTGATGTGAGTTCATAGAACTCAAATGTCAGTAACATAGTGGTAATTTACATGCATGTACATTTTGTTTCCTGAGTTGATAAACTAATGAAAGATTCATCACCATATTGACACTGTCAACTTTTTTTTTTTGAGAGAGAGAGAGAGAGAGCAAGCAGGAGGGGCAGAGGGAGAGAGAGAGAATCTGAAGCAGGCTTCACACTCAGAGCAGAGCTGGACAGGGGGCTCAATCTCAGGACCCTGAGATCATGACCTGAGCCAAAATCAAGAGTTGGATGCTTACCCATCTGTGCCACCCAGGTGCCCCGACACTGTCAAATAAATTTTAACTGATAAAAGCTTGAGAGAAAAAGTATGTGTGTGTACAATGAGTAGTCTATTGGATAAAAGTTCTCCACTATGAATCTCTTCTACAAATTCTGCCCTCACTGGACGGTGGCATTTCCTTACTGGGCAGAGCTCCCAGGTCATACACTCTCTGGAAGACACCTGTAATCTCTCACTCATTATACATCTTTATGACTTGTTTTGATTTCTGGAAGTAGAAATCAGAATAAGGGAATACTTTTCTGGGCCTAGAGCCATAAATTCTGGTTTTGATTTCCTTCATCCATTACTGCCGTTGCTATTTTGACTCGGGATCTTAGAATTGGAAGAGACCTCAGAAATCTTGTCTGGTGTCACCCTACAGGAGGCCAGAGCGGTGGGTGGTTCTCCTAATGTCACACTGGCAGTTGGCAGTAGGGCTGGCCCTATGTCCGGGGTCCCTCACTGCTCTTTCTGTCCCTCTGTGCCGTACCCTCGAGTAGACGCTCCAGAAGTAATACCTACCTTGATCCTCTTCCTGAACCTAACCATGCCCTCCACTTGAACTGAAGTCAAGGTGCATGAAATAACAGATCCAAAGTCAGATCCAAAGTCTCCATTAATCTGGGCAGCACTGACTGTTCTGGCACCCACAGGCACCCCAGGGCAACACAACAGTGAGAATTAGGTGGGAGCCTCTTCCCTGCAGGTGATGATGGGCCGCGTCGCTGGCCACACTTCCTGCGGTCAGTTCTTCCCTCTACATCTCTATGGACCACGTGCTCTTCAGCAGCCCCAGAAGGGACTTATGGGGAAGGTTTCCCAGGCTCCGTCCCACAGACCACTTGTCACTCCCTTGGTGTCAATCAGCACCCAGAAACCCCAGGTGGAGACTACAGCCTAGCGAGGTGGTGCAGGAAGGTTCCATTTCAGGGTGTGGGAAAGCAGGGAATGGGGCCCGAGGCGGCTCTGTAGGGAGTGATCTTGGGGGAAGGAGGTGCCACCACAAGCAGAGACCTGTCACCGGCCCGAGCCCAGAAGCCCTTTCATGTGGGTCCAACTTCAGGAAGATACCAGGTGCAGCCTTGAGGCAGCCCTGTCACCAGACCCATTCCACGGCGCAGCTTGGGAACACACGTAAGGGGGAAAGAGCGTCACTTCCGAAGAAGGAATCAAGGCACATTCAGTCCAAACGTGACCTCAGTGCGCGTGTGAGTTTCACTCACCTCCTCTGAGGATTAGGTTGTGAACATAGGTGTGCTTTTCTTTTTAAAAGGCTACCTTTGTGGCTGGGACAAAGCACGAGCAGAAAGGAACTGGGTGAAATTAGCCAGACCCACAGTGCTAGGCCAGGGTTACATCTTCTTATCCTCCCCTCCGGCCCACTGACCCCGGAAAGTTACACCCCACTTGTTAGCGAGCAAATTCAGGAACTCTAATGAAGCAGAGTTTTTGCAAAAACAGTCATCAGAGGCCCCCTTGAAGGGTGCCATGCAGTTTCTGTGGGCCTCCCTCTCTCCAGGGCACGTGTACCTGTCCCCACACACGTACACTTCCCCATCCCAGGCCACCTTCCTCCTCCCCAGCCACAGCATCTGGCCCGCTGTTGCCCCACACATCATCTGCTACTATTAATAGCTCGAGTTCGGAACAATTTACTGTTTCAAATATAAATCAGTGAGAATTCAAGGTTATTGCCTATCATAACACCATTCTGACTCACTTGCATTCCGACGTGCTTTCTTGAGACAGGTAGAGGGGCGGCGCTAAGTAGCATGCCACGAATGTCACACAGGCCTGGCCCCCAAGAGCATGTGGCCCGTGTGGCTGTCACCCATGGTGAGTGCCCCTGGGGATAAAAGGCTAAAAAAAAAAAGCCAGACATTTTAATTCTGGAATTGCATTAAATCCAATAATCAGATCTTTAAAAAAAAAAACCACAGGACGAGAACCATCTCTGTCTTCCAGGATTAATGATCAAAAAGGATGGAGACGTAAGGTGCTACCTACAGATGAGATAGGAGGCCTTCCACCATCATATCCCCATCTTCTCAGACCCATTCTTCCCTGAGCCAGATGCTGGGGCCCCACAGATTCTGTACAGCTGTGCAGAAACCACAGCAACAGTGGCACCACGGAGCTGGGACGGGAGGCCCTCCTGCGTGCAGGACCCTCTCTGAGAGCTAGCCCCCTTGAGCTGCCCAACAATCCTGGAAGGTGGATGCTATGATTACCACCATTTTACAGAGGAGGAAACGCAAGTTCAGAGTGTGTAAGGAATTTGCTCTGGGTCCGCCTGAGTCAGTCAGTCCCAGAACGGGGATCCATGCTGGGCACTGTCACACCTGGCAGCCCACGTTCATAACCATTGTACTGCTCGGCCTCCCCAGGGACAAGGCTGCCAGGCATGAAACCCACACTGACTGCTTGAATGGGGTTCCCTCAGCCGGGAAGGCCTCTCCAGTACTCCTCCACTTGTTAAAACCCCGTGCGTGCTCTCAGGCTGAGTCTCCACTCCTCTTGCTGCACCGCACCTCCCCCATGAGAGCCAACACTCCTCAGTTCTCCTCCAGCACCCTGTGGAAATCTCCGGTGTAGCCCTGTGGTCTGCCATGTGTTATATTAAGCATTTCCCTGTCTGCACAAGGAACATTCTCCTTTCACCCTTGGAGTTATGTGCAAAATCTGCAGGAGGGAGAGGGCCGTCCTTAAAGATACCCCAAACACATTTTCCCTCTCAGTTCACAGGCCACACCCTGGACCTGGGTTTTGGGGACAGTGTTTTGCACATAACAGGTGCTCAGTGTGTGTTTGTGGAGATATAGAGGGGTTTAGCAGAGCAAATACGGCTTTGGAGTAAAACAGAATTTTCTTACCGACACCTCGCACTTTCCCTATCTAGCTGTGTAACTTTGGTCAAGTTACTGGAGGTACTGTGCATGTGCCACATGGTCGCTGATAGATTCCATGAGATCCTGCCTGGGCCTCAACCTGCCAGCACCTTTTACACTATTCTTGTATTATCTTCACTGACTCCTAAAGATATCCTGACCACATCTGTGAACGTCAAAGGGAATGAAGATATCCGAGACATTATCATCCCCTACAGAAACTTGTAAAGAATAAAACGAGATAATATTTAAGTTGCCACCCAAGATAATAATAGGAAAGGTGCCAAGAGTCAATATACAATTGATTGCCAAACAAATATTGTCAGTAGTAATTATGACAGGAGTTCAAAGGGAAGCCAAAACATTCTGGGCTAGGGTGTCAAGGAAATCTTTCGTGATAAAGTAGGCTCTGAGCTGAATTTGAAGGATGAGTATGAGCCAGAGAAATGGAAATGGAGAGGAGAGAGGATGTGTCCCCTGGCAGAGGACAGAAGATCAGCTCAGGCCTTAGACTTTCTCAGGACATAGTACTAGTGGGGCAGGCCTGGCAGACTCACCACCTACAGGGACAGAGGGCGGACGCACACGAGAGGGAGGGCTGAGGGGGGTGCAGGAGTGCCGCAGCCCCCAGAGAACCCGACCGTGAGCACATGCTCTGTTGAACAGACACTCAGCCCCAGCCCACGGTTGCCAGGCAAGAAACTGGGACCTGTGGTTGCCAGATATCCTGATGTTTTCCTTTTTCCAGAAAGGAGGGAAATCTGGATTTCTATGCAAAATCCCACTATTATGAAATGTTTGTAACAAATTTGAAAAAATTTAAAAATACTCTGCAGGCCAAAGAAAACCTGTGCACAGGCTGGATTCAATGTAGAGAGCATGGTTTAGAATTTCTGCTATTGGGGACGCAGGGAAACAGAATGGAAAGACAAGGTCTTACTTGCCAGGCTAAAAAAAATTTGGACTTTTTTTCTTTCAGAAAACACAGGACCATGGGAAAATGCCAGGATCACCTTTTTTTTTTATAGTAGCCCCCAAAAGGGGAAATAATGGGAAATCACTTTGTTGGCTATAATTTTTTTTTAAGATTTTATTTATTTATTTGACAGAGAGAGACACAGAGAGAAAGGGAACACAAGCAGGGGGAGTGGGAGAGGGAGAAGCAGGCTCCCGGCAGAGCAGGGAGCCGGATGCGGGGCTCGATCCCCAGACCCCGGGATCATGACCTGAGCTGAAGGCAGACGCTGAACGACTGAGCCACCCAGGCGCCCCTGTTGGCTGTAATTTTTATCATCGTTAAGTTTCCCCTATTTATCTAAGTGCTTTGCCTAAAAAATCAACATTACTTATCACTGTGATAATGAACTCTGCTTTCTTTACTTGTGAAGGCATGTCCCTAATCTTAGACAAGTCCCTAATCTTATTTTAAATGTTTTAGTTTTACGGGTGGCTCTCTGCCTTAATAGCTTCATCAGTAAATGGAAAGGCTGAATTAAGTTAGATAATATTTAAGGTCCCTTCCAGTTCTAACACTCTAAGAGTCTATGACTCTCTACAGAAGAAATTCAATTAACTCTTAATGGATGTGTACTAAATATGTGATATATATTTTTAAATCTAGCAGTTTTATAGTTTCTAAAGGGCATTCTTAATTTCATTTACTCTTTTTCAATGACCCTATTATCACCCCCATTTGACAGAGAAGAAACCTGAGGCTCAGGCAGGTTCAGTGCCTCACTCATAACTATACCCAGTATCAGTGGCAGAGAGGGAGTTCCAACCCACGTTCTAACTTTCTGTCCCACAGTCTGTACCCAACGGGCCTCAGGCACTAGAACCTCAGAGAGAGGACTGAAATAAGGTTAAGTCCCTAAACACTCTTATGGGTGATGGTCTTGGGTTCCCGAGGGGCATTTCATGTATCTTTGGAAGCAGCCTGACATCCCTTCTGAATCCAGGTTGGTGGGGCGGGAGGGATGGGGTGGGAGCATGGGAGAGACCCGTACCTGTCCTTACCTTAGTCATAAGGCAGTCTTCCAAGTCTCCTGCAGTCAAGGATTTCATGGCTTCTTGGTCAGTCCTCAATGGAGCAGCAATGTCTTGGTTTGTCCCTCAGTGGAGGACACTTGCAGGTTGGTTTCCCAAGAATGTTAGTCTTGGTGCTAAATTTCTTTGAGAATGTGTACATAGACCAGAGACAGGCCTTCCTTTTTTTTCCCTCCAGCTCTCATTTCCAAATTGGGAGCATCTGTCTGTCATCTTTAGGGAATTTTTTTTTTTTTTAAAGGAATTTAAAAAGGAGAGTTGATGAAATTGAAACTGAATTTGAGTTCAACTTAATTTGACTCGATTTAGCTCTATTGACGGGTGCTTTGACTGAAGGCAACTTTCCCAAGTTGTATTTCCCACTCAGATACTTAAATCTCAAGATAGAAATGCTCTGTAGTTGGCTTCTTCCCCACCTTTTTATGCTCTTGTCCCAACACTAGATGCACCCTGCAGCCTAGTATCTTTATATCTCCTTGTTCTTATCCTGTTGACAGTAAATATTCCTTGCCCTCCAATCCAGAAAATCCCACAGATTGATTTACCTTCTTTACAATAAACAAATAGGGAACTGCCAAACAACCAGCCAGGCACCCGCCATTATGCCTACAAACGAGTGCACACACACACACAATCAGATCAGGGCACAATTAATCTGCATGTGGAAAAGCACACACACACACACACACACACAAAGGTGCAAACAGAGAGAGGCATGCACACATGGACAGGCACACCCAGGAATAGCAGGAGAGGGATCCTTCTGCTCACCTGCTGACCTTTAAATATAATCTTCCTCTTCCCACTTGAAAGCTGGCAGTAAAAATAAAGTCAGTGTAAACAGGCCCCTTGAGAGTCAAGGAAACACTCTTGTCTGGTTTTGCCAGCAAAACCATGTAAAAAAAAAAAAAAAGCAGTAAGTTCCCAGTCTGGCTGGCTGGGGCTAGTTTTATTACAGGAAAAAAAAAAAAAAATTCACAATGGCCTGATCTCCCTGAAGCTGGTAAACATCGGAGACTGCTATCAGATGATCTAAAGAAATTACAGCGCTTCTGGGAGCCCAGCTCACTTCTGAGCAATACTCTGAACAAATGTCTTTCCAAACCCACCTCTGAGAGCTCAGCAGCCATGCTGGGTGCGTGGGCTACTCCGCTTTTGGTAGCCACTGTATTTGCATATCTCCACCCTCTGCCCTATCTGAAAGCCACAGCTGAGCCACACCAGAGCAACCTGCTCCACCCACCTCATTAATCCAGCCTTCACGCCAGCTTCTATAGATCTCTTCTGCGAAATATTGTAGTCAATTGAAATATTCTATGTAAATATTGCAAAGCTACCCTTCCTCAAAACTGCCTTGATTTTCCATTTTCTTCTATTTGTAATTCAAAGTCTCCTTCGTTTGATATCAGATGCTCCCGAATATTTCAGAATCTTCTCTTAGCTTACCACTGGTCAGTCATTCCAAACTTGGTTTTTCACAAACGGAACATGAGCCTGCCTCTTGGAATTTCCTACAATTCAGAATTTTTTTTCTGCCTCATTTCCAACTTCACCAAAGTCCTCCTGGTTTCTCACAGGAGCTCTCGTTTTTTTGTCCTTACTTCTACTGCACCGTAATCATTAACTTGGGATTCCCGGTCTTCTGGTGGGGCCTTTCCTACAGTTCTCAGCTTCCCCCAGAAGCCGTCATCAGATGCACAAACTTGCATCATTCTGTGCCTGGGGCTGCCCTTCCTCCATTGCCCCAGCACAGCCGCTGATCAGAATGTTGAAACTGCAATTCTTCTCTCACTAGGGCTCAGTGATGCTTCCCAGATGTGAACAGGGAGAACAACCAGCAGGCCAGTTGTAGAGCCTGGGAGAAGGAAGAAATCTATGCTCGGGGTGGCTTACTACATTCTAATTTTACCTGGATGCCATACCTGGCAAACAGAAGGTTATATAAACCCAACCAGTTCCTGACTCCCTGATAGAGTTCTTCACGGGCAAAGGTTCCAATATATAGGGTGGTTCCACAGTGCAGGCCCTCAGACAGATTGGCAAAGAAGACCTTTCTTTGTAGATACAGATCTCTGGCTAAGTGGCTTTTGGATTAGCAAATATTTATTGAGCAACAGTCTGCCTAAGGCACTATGTTGGGCCACAGAGAGGGATTCAAAGTTAACTCAGATTCTCCTCCTTTCTGGGGAAATAAATATCCTCATTTCTCATAACTCATACCAAACGCCAGTATGAACATGTAAACAAGCTTTGGCTCAATTTCTATTGTGGGGACCAAGAAGTTATTTTTTTAAAGTTAGTTTAGCAAGGTATTCGAAACCCTAAACCAACAATATGAAAGTCCTAGGAAGATAATGTCACCCCTGATTCACCAACAGAGGTGTTTGCTATTGACTTACCTAATGGCTGCAATTTTCATTCCCAGGAGAAGGGTTGGCTTGATACAAATCAACCTTAAATACACACAAATATGTTAAAGTTCACCAAGGTCACAAACTCTGACATATTTTTCAAAAATTTCCTTTAGTTCTAGGGTGACTCAAAGCTGACAGCTCCAAGGACCAGAGACAATTGTCCATGCTGTGAGGAAGTTCCCAGCAGTGAAGAAGGCAGTGACCCTGTCTGTTCAGTATCCCCACTGTAGTCCAGTACCTAACACATAACTGACCCTCAGTAGTGACGAAAATTTGACGGCATTATACATGAAAGTGACATTCTCATATATAGGATATTTGGAGATGCATCAGATCACTTTATAAATTATAAGTTTAATTTCATACATGCACCTGTGACCTTTTAAATGACTATCATCTTTTATAGAGAGGCCTATTATAAAAGAACTTAGCATAGTACCTGGCACATGATAGGATCTCAATAAATATTTGTTTTCATATTCCATTTTCCTCCCTGGGGAGGGGAACCCTCCTTTTAATGTATGTGAGTAACTGTCCTGGTCTTATCTCAGGGGTAAGATCTTTCATTGGGTTGGTCTTCAGAGTCCCATCAGAAAGCTAGTCTCCTTTCCTGTCATACCAGAAATGGCAAGCAAGATAGTCTGAGCTTGATCTTTATCTAGGTTCAGAGGTAGAAGGTCCCAAACTCAAACACCTACATGGGTTGGGCAGATAATAAAATAAATCAGGATAGAGTAGAACAATGGAAAGGGGTGGGGCCGATGGGTGTGTGTGTGTGTGTGTGTGTGTGTAGGGAGGATATTCTAGGGTGTGTGTGTGTGTGTCTGTGTGTGTGTGTGTGTGTGTGTGTGTAAATAATACTGTACAATCAAATACTGGACAATAAAAAACCTACCTCTGCACTCTATACTCCTGTAATACTAATACCATTGCAGTCCTCTGAAAAATCATTGACATCTTCTCTGGAATTTACATAGGCAATGCTCTCTGCTTGGGTACTCTCCCCTATCTCCTTCCCCATTCACTAGGCTAGCTCATATACAGACCTTCTCTAATTCTCAAGGCTGAATAGGGGACTCTATTAGTGCTCCTAGACCACTTGCAGGTTTACTTGTATCTATCACCTGTTGTACTGTGTGCTCCTCGAAGGCAAAGTACTTGACACAGAGTAGGTACTCAATAAATATCTGCAGAATGAATGAATGAATAAACAAATGAATATATGAGGGTGGCCCCTTTTCTCAATCTTCAGTCTAATCCCATCCTACCTAGAGGCATAAGATAAAGTGAGAAAAGTAAAAGGTAAATAATGAATAAATGCTCAAAAAAAAAAAATGGGAGCACCATTAAGAATAGTAGAAGGGGAATCAGATAATGTCCCTTTAAAAAAAAAAAAGATTTTATTTATTAGTCCGAGAGAGACAGAGACAGAGTACAAGCAGGGAGAGCGGCAGGCTGAGGGAGAAGAAGGCTCCCTGCTGAGCAGGACTTGATCCCAGGACCCTGGGATCATGACCTAAGCCAAAGGCAAACACTTAACTGACTGAGCCACCCAGGCGCCCCCAGATAATGTCCGTTTTGAAAGCTGACTTCAACTCAGAAAGAGCAAAGAAACAGGATAAGATAATGTGTGCATGTGAAAGAAGCCACTATTCATAGCCTAACACCGTCAAGACTGCTGAAAAACTGCCCAATAATTAGAAGATGCCATGTGGATCTTGGAATCCAAACACCCATGTGTCTTTGTAAAAGTAATGGCTCCATCTGGCCATGTCAATAAACAGTACATTATTTCTTAGCGGCAATTATTATCCTAATACACCCAGAAAGAGGAGAAGTCCTCCAACATCAGCCTGAAGGGAGAAAACATATGTTTACTTAACACCAATGACTCTATACCACTGGTATCACCGGTGATCAAAAGAAATAATGAGAAATAATTAGTGCTAGCAACCCCAGCTTTCTATGCAGCAAAGACAACCTATTTTAATTACCAAATAGTATATATCAAATGATCCCAGTTTGGGCTAGGGGAAAGGAAAGGAGACTATCTAGCAATGTTTCCATCTTCTGTGTGTCCACCCATCTATATTCTTGTGCACTGAAATGTCATTCTGGATTTTCCTCATTCAAAGGGCCCATGCTGAAGGGCGACCCAGAAACTTCTTTTTAACAGAGACCAGTTGTTGATAGAATAAAACTCCTGCTATAGATTTAATTTAAAAATAAATTGTCATCTAATCATAAGAGATGTTTCCATTTTTGTATCTCCCTGCCTGGGAAGCAGAGTTACTTGTATTTTCATCTGAAACTTTTCCTTAAGTCAGGGTACAGCTTCTTCCCTCTGCGCTGAGTTATGTGAGCCTGGCATATTTTTCAGTTGACACCACGAAGAACACACTGAGAGTGAGGAAAGTGTTTAAGGAAGAAGACATTTGGTTTTATTAACTGGTTATACCATGAAGTTACCTGGTAACTTTATTGATCTATTCAGCTCAGTTTCCATCAGTCTGAGCTAGAAGGGGGCAGGACATAGGTGACAGAGGGAATCAATCGCTGCTAGTTCCCGGGCCCACAGGGGACTGCTTTCTCCCCCATCCACCCTCTATTGCTCATGACACATGACAAATATTTCTGGTTTTTTATTATTATTGTTTTTTAGTTAAAAGAGAGCCAGATAGAAGATACAGACACAGAGATCAATGGAACGAAATAGAAACTCCAGAAACAGACTGACACAAATACAGCCATTTGATCTTTGACAAAGCATAAACAGTTTGGTGGAGGAAAGATAGTCTTTTCAACTAATGGGTATTGGAACAATAAGTCATCCACAAGGAAAGAAAGAAACCTTAATATAAAGCTCACACCTTACATAAAGATTAACTCAAAATGGATCATAGGTCTAAATGAAAAACATAAAACAATAAAGGTTTTAGAAGAAACACAGGATAAATCCTTGTGACTGCGGTTAGGCAGAGAGGTCTTAAAAATAAAACCAAACAGAAGATTCATAAAAATAAACTGAACTGATAAACTGGACTTCATCAAACTTAAAAACTTTTGTTCTTCCAAAGATACTGTTATGAATATGAAGAGACGAGCTATGGACTAGGAGAATATATCAGAAAACTACATACTCCATAATAGACTTGTATCCAGAATATACAAAGAACTCTCAAACTCAACAGCGAGAAACAAATAACACAATTAAAATATGGGAAAAGAACTGTAATAGACACTTCACCAAAGAGGATATAAGAATGGCAAATAAGCACATAGAAAGATAATCAAAATCATTAACAATTAGAAGAATGCAAATTAAAAACATGATAAGATGCCATTACTTACATACTTATTTGAATGGCTGAAATACTGACAATACCAAGTGCTGACAAGTACACGGGGCAACTAGAACACTATACACTTCTGCTGGGAATGTGAAATGGTACAACTACTCTGGAAAATGACATGGTGATTTCTCATAAAGT